CTGGCACTTCTGGTAAGAAGGAACAATATTTACAGATTGCATCAGTGTTACAGCAGGGATTATTTTTCTGTACCTTTGCTCCCTCCCGGCCCAGAACAATTAACTCAAGATAAACACAAAACCAGTTGACAACTGCTGAATACAAATCCATCCACTGAGCTGAAAAAAATCAGTGTTTGGTGTCTGTGCATCTGCTAAGAATTGATTCCTCTATTTCTACAAAATATTGGTTGTGCTTGTGCCTGGTGTTTTTGAAGTTTCAATACTAATGAAACGATTGGAGGCCAAGTGGGAGCCTGTAATTTGCAATAATTAAATTTAACTTTAAGTTAGGAGTTTGGATACTATTTAGCCTGTGCATTAGAAAAGAGCAAAGCTAGGCCACGGACCCAAAGGTGCTTTTCCAAAAGCAACTGGACTTTCTTTTGTTTTTCCTTAAAGACACGTTACTTCTCATACAAGAAATGAAGAAGCTTCTTGGGATGAGAAGCAAAATGTCTTCAACGGATAAAGAAAATCCTGCTGCCTTTGGAAAAGCATCTCTTGGACAAGCATAACCTGGATGACTGAGAATCTCCATAAACATCTACTGTAGCTCACAGACCGTAATCTAGAGAGACCGCAATATTCTGTTTCCTTGGCAGAGGGAACATTATCACCTTCATCCCGTATTTATTCTGCAAAACAAGACTTTTCTTTATTTCAGTGCCACTATGATTGTGTGACCCTCTTCCTTCTCCACAGTAGCATTTTCCTATGTTTAAAATCATTTTCAAGGCCAGGTGGCCATAGGATACAAACAGCTTTTGCACATTTTTTAAAAAGTTTATGTTTAACCGTACACTTCCTTCTCTAGGGAATGAGAGTGTGCACGCATATTGCAGTTCTATTAATACTTGGGGCAAACATATTTTCCCCTCGGATAAACTCCAGGCTACTGACAGAGAAGATAAAGGGAAGGAAGAGGCCCAATTTGCTGAAAATTGGGAGCATCCGGGGAATATACAGGAGGATTCTAAACTGTCTCTCCTATATTCATTAGCAAACCCATGGCTGGGAGCTGCATATTTACAAAGCATACAGCGCTGCCCTTGATGGAACATATTTATATCCAGTAGTGTGCAAAACATTCTACATGTAAACTGTTTTGTATTAAAACATGCCATTTTGAGCCCCAAACAATTGTTTCAAGTAGAACACAGCTGTTTTGCGTTAGACCCAGACGATGCCAATCACTTTCCTAATGTGTCAAATGTGAAGCAGCTCTGGTTTGAGCTGAACACATTTTCAAAATGATTGAAGCAGACCTCTTAGATATGAATCAGAAGGGGACACTTCGAATTTAGTGTTTTGCACAAACTTCTTTAATGAAAGCAGTTGTCCCTGGCTGGCAAAATTCTCTCCAAGCTATGTTAAATATTTTAGAAAAATGTAGCCTGAGCTACATAGATATGATTTTGAGTAGCTATAGGAAAAGAGTGATATGTTTGGTGGCCCTTTCTAGGATATCTTTTGATATCCTTATATATCATTAAATTATTGTTATAAATTATAAATTTTTAATTTAATTCTGTGAATATTCAGGCATCTATACTGGTAGAGTCAGGAACTCTCCAATAATTGACAGTCTGTGGCTACAAATATTTTGGGTTAAAACCTGGACTATCCACTCACATATAAAATTCTATACCCTGTTATTTCCTGTCCTCGCTCTGCAGCAATAGTAAAAATCTAAGACTATTCCTCTGATGCAATTGCTCTTCTCTTTTCTGTTTGTCTTTTATTGAAATGTTATATTTGGTCTTGCGTTTTCTTTGTCCTCGGTTGGGCAAACACAGGTTTCAAAGGATGGCAGCTTAAGTAAATAAAACCAAATTTTCTTTCTGTGCAACGTACAATAGTCACTACTTCCCGAATGCCTTATTTCTATTGCTCTTTCTTCCTTTGTCCTGTTGTTCTTCTCTGATGGTTTCTCTTCTGCTTTAACGTTTTACAATCTTTAGCAATAATTATTTCTTCAATGTGGCCCCAGTATTGAAACTTTAGTGTAAGGTCCATGGAGCAGAAGGGAAGTTACCGATAGGTAGAAATGAGGAACAAGGAAATTATAACAGAATAATAGGGTGATCTATTTCTCAGACAGATAGTTTAACACTGAATATCAAATACTATAGATAGGACACAACCAATTGTGAATGTTGTATATTTTAAAGTGTTGTTTTGTTTATTTATCCCCTTCCCTTGTTTATTGTAAGCCGCCAGGAGTCCTTCGGGAGTGGGCGGCATACAAGACCAATAAACTCAAACACACAACCGGAGAGTTCTGGTTATCATTTTTGGGGGGGAAACAGGATACTGAATCATAAGACCTGTTGATTTGACACTGAGGACTTTTATTAAAATTGCTATCAAAATCGCCTACTGCCGATCACCTCCACACGACCTATTAGATCTCATCGATTAGGCCTCCTCCGAATACCATCCGCTGGCCAATGCCGACTGGCAACCACGCGGAGGAGAGCCTTCTCGGTGGTAGCTCCGACCCAATGGAACGATCTCCCCGTGGAGATTTGTACCCTCACCACCCTCCAGACCTTCCGCACAGCCCTTAGAACCTGGCTATCCCGTCAGGCCTGGGGCTAAAGATTGTAACCCGCCCGAATGGTATGAATGTTGTGCTTTTAATCATGTATTGTCTTATATGTAAAAGTCTGTTTTTTCCCCCACTTCCTTTGGATTGTGAGCCGCCCTGAGTCCCCCCAGGGAAAAGGGTGGCATATAAATAAACCTTAAACTAAACTAAACTAAACTAAAATCACCTGCCCCTAGAACTGTAGCTGCACAAATCCGAATGATCCGTGGGTTCCCTCTTTACTGCCCTCTCGTGCCCCTCCGGGGATTTGCAGGCGAGTATTTTCTCGCCAAAGAGTTACTGTATCACCCAAGAAACAGCCTTCCTCGGACGTGTCATAGTCTAGATCGTACAGGGAAACGATGCAACCATTTAATCAACCATCTGATGTTGATTAAAGATGAAGGGCGTTGCAATCTCTTGCAACCAAGGAGGAAACTCCTTGGCAGGCATCGGCCAAAATACTGCCAATTCCTCCAGACCCTTTCTTGAAAATAAGATTTTGCCCTCTCGCTGCCGTGAAGAGGGTCGCGCCTACCTCCACCTCGTCCTGCTTCTCCCTCCGGTACATGGTGCTGAAGGCTGAGGGTCGGTTCCTTCTCCAGCTTTAGGTCGGTGCTCCGTCCCACTCGGGCAACGGAGGGCGGCCCAGGAAGCCCTCAAAACCAAGCCCAGCCCAGCCCAACCCAGCCTGCCACCGCTGCTTTCACTTTCAATCCGCTCAAAACAAGGGGATGTTTCGTTTCCCCGGACTTCCTTCTTCTTTCCGGCGAGATCATTCGTCCTAGCGGCGGCTTGTGTAGCCACCGGGTTCGGAAAGTCACTTTTCAATCGGAAACCGCCCCTCCTCCTCCTCCCCCAAATAAACAGGGTTTCCCCCCCCATTATTTGCTTGCCGTTTGCAATTTTTGCATTATGGGGGGATTGCATTCAGCAGGTGCTCCGTCTCTCCACCTGGGTCTGCGGAAACTTTACGCTTAGAAAATTGGATTGGCGTTTGTCCCGTTAACTCGGAGAGCGGATCTCCGTGCGTGTCACTGTGTTTTGACGTGCGAGGCTAATGATCGGTGTTTCGGTGCAACTGCAATCGCCTTTTTTATTTAAAAACATGTAAAACATGTGGGAAGCTATCATCCAGCCCTCTCCCAGAAAAGTAAAATATCCTAGGAAATATTGAAAAGGCAGAACATTTCTCTAGATGTGAAAAGGAAGAAACATGCTTTAAAAGGCAGAATAGTTGCCTGTAGCTTCCTGCCCATACACACTTTGTCAATAGGCCATTGAGAAGGCCAGGCTAGCCCCCTTTACATAATA